ATAAGGAACCAGCAAAAAGACTGTGAAAAGGTCACCACTAAAAAGGAGGAAAATTAAGAGATTGTGATGTCCTGGAAATCAAGAACATGTTTTCAAGGGGAGAGAGTGATGAAATGTGTGAGATAATGTTAATGACTTCTATTCTGAGTAGGAAGTAAGATCACATTTTGAAAGTGTGAGGGAGTGAGGTTGAGATAAAAAGAGACAACTTAATGAAAAGCTCCTGGACTTGAAAGTCAGATGGACCTGGGCTCCAAACCCAGCTCAGTAGCTTAACTAGGTAGGAGAACCTTGCAGGGTTGTGTGTACATTTCAGCATGCATGCCAGGCATGGCAGGAGGCCTGGGAAAGTTTTGGAACAACTAGACTGAGGAATGGAAGAGTGACCTCAGTAGGGATGGGTGAAAGAATCCTTGGAAGATTCGGCTGACATTGGAGAGGGAATTTTAATGGTGCTAATTTATGTGATTTTTTTTCTTTTAGATGTGGAATATAGAGATGAGAAAGTAGAGATTGACTTATTCCAATGTGGGAAATTGGAAGGGGCAGAAGGAAGGAAGGGAGTGTAGTGAAGGGCAGTATAGAAGCAACGTACTCTACAATTTGGGAAAGATTAGGTTCCAAAGTGATTATATCATGATTGAAGTCAAAGGAGTTCATGTAGCCCTCCACCCAAGTAATATTTGGAACAGGAGCCTCAAGAACCAGGTATCAAATAACAACACTCGAGAAAGATGATGTAGTGTCCATAGGCAACAGAGAACAATTGCGCTTTCATTTTCTCCATTAAGGTGAAAAAAGTCTTCAAAAAAGAGACTAGAAATAGAAATCAAGGAACAGTGAGGAGACAGTGTGACAGCTGGCGAGTGGGAGGAGTATTAGGAGTCTGCATCTGGGCCAGTGCTCAAGTTTCCAAAAGAAGGGGAAGTTAGAACCCAAATTGAGAGCTTGATAAGTATGACATCTTTCCTATGGGAAAAAAAGTATAGGTTGCTAACATGGCTTGTCAGGACAGAGAACAAGTAAATAATGATCACTGGTGGTCATGGGGTTGAATTAAGAATGTGTGCCAAGGTGGAAACTTGTCCTCTCTCCTCTCCGTTTCCCCACCCGCTCCATCTCCTCCTCTGGGTCTCATTTACTGCTCTGGATGGATAGAAGAAATGCTTTGGACGTGATGTACCTTGATTTCAACTAGCTTCTGATAGAGTCAGTCATTATAGTCTTGCATTCAAGATGGGGAGAATAATGTGAGCAGAGTTAAAGTACGTAGTTAAGTAGAAACTAAGCTGTTGAAAGAGGGGAGGCAGTGTTGTGAAGTGGAAACTATTGTTAACGTTGGACTTAGACATGGGATCAATATTGATTTTTTCACCTGCAGCTTGAGCAATTTAACTTCTATGAACCTCAGTTTCCTCATATAAAATGGAAATAATAAAACCTACCTGCTGAGTTGCTACAGGGATTAAAGGAGATGACACCCTTCGTGTCCCTGATAATGGAATAGACATGTTCTCTTCCTCCGCTTCCTTTGCCATTTCCTACTCCTTATCCCCCAGACGAACACCTATCTACCACAAAATGGTAATTGGGAAAAAAGAAAGGGAGAATTTTAGACCATGTGTGGTAGATGGGGAGTGATAAATTGGAGAGGATTGGGAAAATAAATATGAGGAGGACTCTTCTTCTGCCCCATTGTCCTCAGGAAATAAAATTCCATTCCCTCTAAAACTTCTTTTGTGAAAGACATTAGATTTAAAAATTATTTAGTGTTTACCATGGAGGAATATATAAGAAACTATATTTCAAAAGATTTTTCATGAAAACATTATTATACTTTTATTGTATACCCAAACATTTTTAGCACTCTCCATTTATAATCATGATCAACGAATGGATTTTTACAAAAGCATCACATTGTTTTAGCCACATTGTTAAAGCCACAAGTTTTATCACTGTTATTTTTAACTTTTTGTTTTGACACGTTGCTTTTAACTTTAATTAAAAATTATTGGCATCTGTGTTTACTTTTTAGCCTGTGCATACCTTATCTTCATAGCAGAAACTAATTAGTATGTGAAATACAGTACCATTAAATTTGCATTGAGGCAGAAAAATTGTAATCTGATCATATGTAAAATATGGTAGAAAATACATTTTAATATATGAAAGATGTGTACATGGTATTAATTCTGGTTCCATTCTTATAACAAATGTTTTAGCATTTGTCTCCATACACCTTTACTTGGCTACTTCAACGTGGTTAGGCAGATTACAGAATTTCGAAGAAAACTAATCTTCTTTCATGAAACTTGCAAAGTGATTTAGAAAAATCACTATTATATGTGATGGGCTTGTTTTAACAAAGTGGAATGCAATACCCCACAGAAATATTTTCTGGAGCACTAGAATATCTTTTCTGGTTCCAGATGGGTTTCATACTTGCCCTTCTTTAGTCTTTTCCTAGTTACTGCCTCAAATCACTTATCCTAAAGCATTACAGGTAAATATTATCTCTTCTGTGAATCTCTTTCTGACGCTTATAAAGAAATGTTTCCTTTAATTCACCCTCATGTTGGAGGCATGTAACTTGTAGATTATTATTGTTAATTTTATATCTCAAAAATATTTCAAAACTCTCCCCTTTTTTCTTGTTCCTGCTGCTGCCCTAGTAGTCCAAGCCATCTTCATTTCTCTCCTGGAGTACTGTTATCGTCTCCTAGTTGATCCCTCCTGTTTTTGCTGTCCTTATTCTCAGAGGAGCCTGAGTAAACTTGTAAAAACAGAAGTCAAATTGTGCCCCCCCTTTTCCATTTCCCATACCATCACATTACCCACTTATGCTCTTCTACTAGCATTGGTTTGCCTTCATTACCCCATTTTCAATAGTAGACACCCCCATTTTTTTCTTAATATCACTTATCAGAATTAGTAATTATTTATTAAACTGGATATTTACCTGTTTGGTATGTCTTCTCTATTAGCCTGTGACTCCATGAGCAAAGAGATCATGTCTTTTTTTAAACCACTTTATACCTGCACTGTCCTTAGCATTTAGTAAGTGCATATCAAGGATTTGGGGGTTTTTGTGTGTGTGAGAGGAAGATTAGCCCTGAGCTAACATCCATTGCCAATCCTCCTCTTTTTTGCTGAGGAACATTGGCCCTGGGCTAACAACCATGCCTATCTTCCTCTACTTTATATGAGACGATGCCACAGCATGCCCGGGATCCAAACCTGTGAACCCCGGGCTGCTGAAGCAGAGCACACAAACTTAACTCCTGTGCCACCAGGCCAGCCCCAGGGATTTTGTTTTTTAATGAATGAATTTGGTGCTATATATCACAAAATATCCATTTGCATAATGCTTAATTATGTATTTCACATTCATTAAGTGATGCTCATAAACTGCAGTATCCTCTTCTCTGCTTCCTTTTTTTCTGTTAACACTGATCACCATCTGGCTAGCTAGAATGGGAGTTCCATGAGGGCAGGGACTCTTGTCTGTGGTGTTCAATGCCCTCTCTTCAGTGTGTAGAACAAGGCCCAGAATATATTTATTTGTTGCGTATTTGCTGAAGGGACGACTGATTAAATAAATAAAGTCGCACACACTTGACATCTTGGAATTCATTCCTCTGATAAACGCTTCAGTTCAACAAACACTGATTAAGTATCTACTGCGTGCTAATCGTTATGCTAGGCCCTGTGGGTATAGAAATCAGTAAGTTATGGTGTCATTTCTGCTTCTGGTTTTATTTTGTATTAAGATGTTTGCTATTATTCCAATTAACTTAGAAGTTATAGTGTGATATGACAGGGGCTTTCAGATTGTTTCAGCACTTAAGCCTGGCTCTTGTTGAATAAGACTGGAGTGGTTTCATACTCTGGCTTTGTTTCTCCAGGTTAAATATGTGTGGTTCATTACACTTTACTTCTGTTCAGACATAATTGGTCAAACCCTCTTGGAATGGCTTTTAGATCTTAGCTTCTTTGATCAATCTGTTTCTTGTTTGTCTTCTAGGTCTAACTAAGGTCAGATGCTTTTGTAAGATCATAAATATAACACAGTGTCCTAATGTTTGCCCTCCACTCTTACTGATAGTCTAATTGTGATGTGCTGACGTGTTAAGAAATTGGTCCAGCAAGGGCTTTGTTTAGGATCTTGCCCAAAGCAGAGATGAGATGCTGTGTTAGTTTCAGCAGTTATCTTCCTTTCCTTTCTTCAAGTTGGTGTTATTTTTGAAATATGAAACATTTTTCCAGTTTTCCATATGTTGAAGAAAATCTCTTCTAGTTCACCTTTGATGTCAAGATGAGATTTATATACAAAATTGGAGAATTATACTCTTTATTTTTTGGTTTGAAATACACCTAGATTTTAAAATTGTCATCTACAATAGATGTGACCTTTTTTTTAAGAAGCACGTTAAAAAGCCACAAGCAAAAAGATACGATCTTTATACTTTTTCTATTTTAAAATGTATAATTTAGAATTAAATCTTATATGTGTATTCTGTGTTCCCCTTTTCAATAACTGATTTTTCTTTTAAGTAGAAGACTTAGAAATTCTATGATCCTTACTGAAATATATTCTTTATATCCGCCTGAATAAAATGTATTATGACATGGAAATATTAACTACTCCATGCCTAAATATTAGCTGATAAGGCATTCCCTTCAAGGGGAAAGGCTTACTATTTTTTTCTGTCATGTCTCTGATAATTTTTGGTGATTTTTGTATCATTATTGATATACTTTTAAGTATGACTGAGTTTGTGATTTATATACAGCCATTTGATTTAAACTATTAATTTGATCTTTTTTATTTTTATTTTTTGTGGAGGAAAAGCTTAACAATAAAGGGAGCATGTCACTGTGTTTTAAAAGATCTTTTTCTGTCTCTGGATTTAACCTCTTCTGGTCTTAGAGAAATAGTGAAAATTTTCTGTTATTAGTGCTTAGTACGCATGTTAAAGGTTTGCCTTTTTCTCTTGTAGGATGAAGTGGCACACACTCTAACTGAAAGCAGAGTGTTAAAGAACACTAGACATCCCTTTCTAACAGTAAGTGACCAGGGGACAGATGTTATAATCATGAATTTTAAATTTAAGGGAGTTTTATTACAGAAACTAAGCCATGAAAAATACCATTTTAAATAACATTCATTTAGGTATGCCATTTTCTTTGTGGAAAGACAAGTCACATTTCTTTGAAATTATTGGAATGTGTGGATTAAGTTTACAATATGTGTGCATTTATAATCCCTCCCATTATACATCCATTACTTTTTGAGACTTCTGTTTTCTCCCACGAATTCACTGCCTTTATTAAGAAAAAAAAAAAACCCTAGACCAAATAAGTCACCTCTGTCATTTTAAGTAGACCACTGAGAAAAGGATAGACTTAAAAAAGATTCATAGTATTAAATGCAAGGATTTTATGTTTCTTTTGTTTATTGACATCTGATGAATATTTAAATGATCAGGCAGCATTGTCTTCAAATATGAAAGGCCGAAATCTTTGCTGAATATTTTTTATAGAAATTGAGGCTTCCTTTAGGTATCTAGTACCTTAAGCAATACTGGAATACTGAATACATTAAATTAAAGATAGGATAAGTCACAATATGTTTTCTTTACTGGAAAACGTATAAACTGTGACTTAACATGCATATTACTTAGTTGTTTTGAAAGAAAGATTTTTTTAGACCTGTTCTTAGGTTCCTTGTAATAGAGGCATAATTTGCCAAGTTTCTGTTTGTTCCTGGTTCCAATGAAGTGTATTAGAATGAAAAATAACAGCTAGACTTTTAAAAAGCAGGCACCTTTTAAAGATTTAGGATTCTCTGAAGTAGAAATTTTCAGAGGTATCACCAGATACCTAGACTTAACTTTGTTACATTGTTGTGTGTTTATTGACCAGTGTATAAGGTAGCTCTAGAGTTTTGATATCTTAATAAAATTACATGAAAGAACTCTGTTGGATTGGGTCATGTTATGCACCCAGTATGCAAAAAGTGATGTTGAAACTATATTGTAACTGTATTCCTAAGACTTCACTAGAGTAATTTGAAGCCCTCACTTTAAGGTTGCATGGATAAGATCTTTGGGGACCAATACAGTTTCAAATAGATTGCACAGCATATTGGGACATGCTCGTCACAATTACTACATTTATTTTTACTTAAAATTTTAATTTTGATTTTTCCCCTAACAATACTCAAAACTGATGTAAAAAGATTTGTTTCATGTTTCTCATGAACTCTTAAGCACTCTTAAGGAGGGAATAGACTCTTGAGGAACAATAACAATTCATCAATCATACTTACTGTATCTAAGTGTTCTGTTTTTGGTAGCATTATAGGAATGTAGGATTTTAATATAACATTTTTTCTTTTTCATTTCAAGTCCTTGAAATATTCCTTCCAGACAAAAGACCGTTTGTGTTTTGTGATGGAATATGTTAATGGGGGAGAGGTGAGTCATGAAGTAAACCCAACACTTGCATTTGCATGGTAGTATTGTCATTAGTTTAAAAGAATTATTTAAAATATAAGTTATAACATAACAGGTCTCTACTTCTTGATAGGCATTTGTATAGCTCTTTCTACTATTGAGTAGGTGGGGGCTGAATAATTTCTAATGAAATGTAATGATTGTTAATTTTTTTATAACTACGTTTATATATTGGAAAGTATAATTGTATTCTCCTTTTTCCTATCGTTTCTTAAATGTAAAAAATTTTACAAGTATAATTTTTGAAATCATATTTAATTTTGAAAACCAGAAATATGGGATTTATGATGCCTTACAAAGTTCTTCCTCAAGTTTTTGTGAAACTTGTAAAAAATCATTTTATTCATTTTAAATGCAGTTGAACAATAGTCCATAGGCACATTGTGGCTGAGTTTCTCTTCTTCTATGTAGTTGTTAGAGTAACCTTGACTATAGTTGAGAGATTTTAAGGGATCTTCCAGTTTTGAAGAGAAATTTAATCAGTGTAATAGTACATTTCACCTATTCTTTTGTTCCTTGTCCTTTCTCCTCCCTATTTTTGGTCAAAATCAATGTGAGGGAAAAATGTAATTTGCTGGAATAGTTACTTGGAAATGTTTTACATTGTGGGCTTTCTGAAATAAATTTAATTATTAAACAGGGGCTTGTATTTCACAGCCCTTAAAATAGTTTTATTTTCCAAAATAAATAAATAAATTAAATAGTCTCTATAGAATATTTTCTCCTATAGAATTATCTGACTAGTAGGAATTAGTTCATTGCAAAAATTCACTCATTCATTTGGTGTTAGTTGGCACATTTTGAGTGCCTAGGCAGTGTAGGTTTATCAAAATGTGTTAAGACATTGTCCTTTCTATGGAAGGAGTTTATAATTTATTTTACAAATGTATTATAAATTAGAATGTATAGTGAAAGACATAACTGCTAATAGATTCATAAAAGAAAATGCTTTATGAATGATCTCACATTTAAGGTAGGACTTAAATGTTTAATGAGATTTCAGCAGGAGAACTGATTTGAGAAGATATTTCACGCGGAGAGGATGAGGTGAGCGGACTCCCGGGGGTGGTGGGTGAGCACAGGCAAGAAGGACTTGAGTAGTGAGATAGCAATAGCCCGGCATTGAGAACTAGGCCCTTGCAGTCAGATATTGTCTGAGAAGATACAAAGAAGATGGACGCCATGGAATTGTGTAGGATTGGTACGTCTTAATGACCAATTAATTGGATGTGGGTAGAAAGAGAGAAGTATCAAAGTGGGTTTTGGTTGGAATTAGGGAGAATTAATAGATATAGTAAACTTACAAAGAATGTGTTGAGCGTAAGATTATAAATTTGGTTTTGAAAGGTTTTCCTAGGTTTCCAAGGAAATACTTATGTGGAAACATCACAGAGAATGAATAAGGGGTCAGAACTGTGGATACAGATTTGGGAGCCATTCTCATAAAGGTTACAATTTAAGTTACAGAGGTGGATATTTCCCATTTTATGGGAAATTAAATTGATGAAACCTCTATGTTAGTATCTATCAAAATTAAAAATGCACATATTTTTGGGCCGAGCAATTTCACTTCCAGAAATTTATACTACAGACATATTCACAAATATACTACAGAATGATTTATGGATAAATATGTTCATCGTAGCATTGTAATACCTTAAATGAGCATTCAGTAAGGAGATTGCTTAAATAAATTGTGTTATATTCATGCAGTGAATACTTTATATCCATTAAAAAGAATGAGACAGCCCAGTATGGGCCGATACAGAACAACTTCTAAGATATGTTATGAAGTGAAAAATCAAGGTGCAGAGTATAAAGCATGCTACCATTGTGATAAAGGAAAGTGAGACCATATGTATGTGATACATGTTTGTGTATGCATGGACTGTCTCTGGAATTGCGTGCTGGTCGCTAGTGCTTACCTTTGGGAAGATCAGCTGAGTGGCTGGGGACAAATGGGACGAAGACTTATTTTTCACTTATATACTCTTGAGCAGCTTTTGTATTTTTTTACCACAAATATATTTTATCTATTTAAAAAATTGAGGGAAGGGAGATAGGCAGGTAGACAGACGGACGGATGGATGGATGACCCAGGGAGAGAATAATATAGGGAAAATGATAAACTGCACACAAAAACTTGGAGAAACACTCTTAAACTGGGGCACTCTTAATTTGGAGAAATAGTCCTACACAGCATCATGCGTGTACATCCATTATAACAGTTATCACATTGTTTTATAATTACCTGTTTACTTGTCTGTCTTTCCACTGGACTCTGAGCTTCCTAAGGGGCTTGTTTGCTGGTGCAACCCCAGCACCTTACACACTACCTGACACAAGGAGGAGCTTGACAAAGATTTATTGGATGATTTGAACGAATAAATAAGTGAAGGGATAAACAAATTTCCTCAGGGAACAGAGAGAAAAGAAGTTAGCAAAAGTGATTAACTAGGAACTGCTGAGAAGTAGGAAGAAAAACAGAAAGTAGTGTACTAACTACATAGTTTATTTTGGAGAAAAGTCAAAAAGATTTTGTCAGGAGGGAATACCTTTGAGTGTATTTATAAAATACATATTTATTGAGTCTGTGCACAGCACTCTGGTAGATATTGTGGGACATACAAGTCTGAATTAAACATAGATGTTACCTTCAAAGAGTTTATGGTCTAGTGGGGAAGATAAGTACAAAATTGACACTAAGTGTAAAGTGATCGTTATCGTGTGTATCAGAAGTACAGGTTAGGGGCCAGGGGACTCCCCAGGAGGGAAGGAAGAATTTTGTGTGGTGGGATGAAGGGAAGCTTCCTAGAGGAGCTAGCCACCACTTGCACTGTTATTCTAAACCTAGAGTACCTCTCAAATTCATGAATTGATGATTATTGAAAAGATTTTACACACAAAAGCAGATTTTCAGACTAGCCAGATGGTTTTCTTTAGCATTGAAACTCCTACATTATTTCTCGTTTGGCATTTCTTCTCTTTTTTCAGAATTTCTGTTTTGGGAATGTTATAGATAAAGACTAAATTATTTAATGTATTGAAGCAGGTGAACTGATTATGTGATATATAATTTTAAAGTGTGTGAATAGTAATTATAGCATTGCAATACGTACGTAGAAAAACAAAAATTCACTTATATTTACACAATTTTAGTGAAAATGGAAGTTTTATATATGTAACTCCCCCAAGTTTTTATTCTTTTACATTATCAAATGTACTTTATAAATACAAATAGTTATTTAGTTCTTGGAACTTAATGGGATTATTTCAGTTCTTAAATTCATCCCTTCTGGGAAGGAGATTTATGTTCAGTATATCCTCATGGCACCTTATTTAATTTTGGTTTTGCTGTACGTTCACCACGCCATTTATTCTGTCCAGGGGTGCTTCCTAGAAATGCTGAAAACTCAGTTGCTGTAGAAAAAATACTAAACAGAGTAGTTATGTTTTTGAAATAGAGAGAAGTAAAGTAAGGGAAGCTGTGAACTCACCCAGACAGTCCACACCAGCACTTATAGATACACCATGAGTTACCCAGTGGGGAGTATCTGTGTGGGCTGGGAGACCTGAGCAGCAGAATACTGGCCGGTCGAAAAGGAAGCTGTGGTAAATTGACGCCGCTCACCCAAATGGCAGCAGCCTCAAGTCTCTGTGTAAACAGTTTTTGCTTCTTTAGTGGACCTCTTGAAGGTAATTATAATCACCCCAATTTTTACTCAATTCCTACTTATTGTCTGTTGATTTTTAATTAGCAATGGTATCCTTTTAGCCTATGTTCTGGAATGTTTTTCTTGAAATATAATAGTTGAGACTTTCCTTTTCTTATACTTTCTTCACATTTTTGTGAATATCTGGACTTCTTTCAGCCTAATAGACTGCACAGGAGTTTCTCATGCTCACGGCCATACTTGTTATTATCCCTTTGTTTGCCAGTATTGTTTAAAGCACTAAATAGTTTGATGGAAGTGGATTGTGCGAGAAATACTGGTTGTGAAAAATCAACAGTGGCTGCTTATAGGCATATCAGTACAATGGAGTCACATCGTAATTGCATTTAACTTAACATGAATTCAGAGAAATTGGCTCAGCAAGAGATAGCATGCGTAGATAGATACAGAGAGAGAGAGATAGAATGAAAGAATATGGTGATTCTGCCTTTCTTCTTGATGAGTATATTCACAGAGTGACCTCAAGATGAGAGAGAGAAATTTGCTGTTCTTTTATGCCATGTCAGTTCCTACTTGCCATCCTTAGAGTTTCATGAGATATAAATTCTGGCACTTAAAAATACAGTTTGCATAAAACAATGTCATTAAGTGCTTTATAACTGCAGATGTTCATATAAAGAAACTATATTATTTCAGTGCTGGAAGAAAAACTCTGCTGGGCTAACCTATATTGAGACAGTATGTTGGGTCTCCAGTGTAGTACCTTTCTAAGGAGTTTTCAAGAATTATTTTGATTATACTTGATTATTTATGTGTTAACTTTAGAACCCACTCCATTGTAGTCCATTTGACTATTAAATATTGCATGAGCGACTACTATGGGTTGGACCTCAAAGGATGCAGAAATAATAAAAACATGGTACTTTCCTTTGGAAAATGAGTGTCTAATTGGGGAGATAGACAACAGAATATGCATATACTTTATAGTGGCATTATTGCTGTGATAACACTGGTTGCTATGGGATACAGAGAATGCATACTTGAATCAATCCAGAAGGAAGAGAGAGGAGGAAAGGAGAAAATGCCAGGGTAGGAAACACTTCTTAAAGTGGTTGCTAAGCTAAGACTTGAGTATAACTTAAGTTAGATCAGTAAGCATGAGAAGGAGGGCATTTCTGCACAGAGGAAATAGAATGTGCAGGAGCATGCAAGTTCTTCCCCACCTCCCAGTATGGATGAGGCGTCAGGTCCTGTGGAGGAAAGCCAGAAGAGTCTGAACAGGTAGTT